GCCAGTCAGTCTGACATCGATACCGGGTAAATTGGTGGAAACCATTATTAAGGAAAGAATTAGTAGACACATAGATGAACAAAACCTATTGAGGCAGACTTGGGGGGGTCAACAGTGGGAGGGCTTCTAATGTCTTGGCCCCACTGGTGGACCTCCTGATGGCACGGGTATTTCTGGCCACTGTGTGACACAGAGTGTTGGACTGGATGGGCCTTTGGCCTGATCCAACTTCGGCGTCTTTTATGTTCTTATGTTCTTAAGGGAGTTTCAGGGTAATGTGAACTATGTAGAGATCTGTAACTTCCTAAAGCTGAAGAGCCTGCCCTATATTTTAACATCTGATAGGGCATGTATACAGAAAGGGACAGAGGAATTGTGTTTTTACCAATTTCTTTTGTATCCTTAGCTCAATCTGGTGCTGTGCTAAAGGTATGCTTATGAACATTTTTAAAATAAATACTTTATGACTTTTGATGCTGGTAGTGGTTCTCTGTACCACATACTCCACCTTCTCAGATGTACTATTTTAGAAAGAGTGCCAAGGGCAAGGCAGACAGTTGGCAAGGGGCTATTCCTCCAGGGGCTCGCAAGGCAATAAACTGCCCCTGTGGTGACCAGGTGCTGGGCATTGGGAGATACAGAGGCAAGGCCTCAGAACTGGGAAGGGAAATTGGGAGCCCTGACCCTCCCAATGGGCAATTCCTTACAAAGGTCAGGTGGTGGTGGCAGGCTATGCAAGAGTGAAGGAAACGCGTCTCCAGGTGTTGAGAAGAACCTAGGAGGACAGGGCAAAATAGGGCCTGCAAGCCAGAGCAGGCATGTTCCACCACAGGGTCTAAAAGGGTGGGGTTATTCCAGCTGAGAAGCTTCAAGTAGAGAGAAGAGACTGTTTTGCCTCACCTGCTTCTTCTTCCTTCCTTTGGGCTGTTCCCTTCTTGCTGTGTGTGTCTCTCTCAGGTTTGCATTACTGGGAAAGGAGTCAGCCCATTGCTCTTCCTCTGTGACCTGTGCCCCAAACCTTAGTCTTGCAAGAGCCTTTTTCTGTGACAACTGACTCAAAGGCATCTGGCCCTTCCCTTGCCTTGTTACCAGCTACCATAGCTCCCTTGAGTACCTCTGCCCTGGCATTTTTTCAGGGTGGCAAACCTAGGCTATGGGTCTGCTGCTGGTGGGGAACTGCTGCATCCTGATTGCATGTGGAACATTTTGAAGGGATGCTGTGGTGCTAGCTTGGGGTCCTAGCCACAGTGTGTGTGTTTGTAGGCCACATGCAGCCCGCAGGCCATATGTGGAGTGCCCAAGAGCTTACTGAGCATGCTTCTATGATGCTTTGATAGCTGTTAGATTCAAGTTTTATAGCTCTGTGTCAAGTGCACCACAGCAAATTAGTTGCATTTGCCCTCTCTCCCACTGGTGAAGGCTCATATGCTCTTGCGAAATAACAGCCATTGCTGCAGAGGTGGAGGTTGGGGTTCATGGATGGATAATAGGTTTTTCCAACTTTTTATACCTGTGCAATAGAGGCTACTGTGAGACTGGGAGAAATGGAATAAGTTCAGTCATTAAACCACTGCAGAGTGAAAAGGATACCTAGGCTAGCTCACTCTGAGAACATTTAACAGTCTGGATTCAAAGAATCATAGCATTTTCAGAACTCCCTTCAAAAAAGAAAAGACAGTACAAATCAGAATTGTCAATATCTGAAGCCTCAATAGGCAAAAAAGAATGGTATTTCAAGGGAAGGAGGAATTAGAACACTCCTTTTTGCAGAAAGCATAATCATACTTCAACTTTTTTTTTGAATAGATCTCAGAATAGATGGAAATCCAATAGCGATATAAAATCTTTTCCCTGCTTCATCATTTTTTTCTGTACTTAATGACAATCCATAGCAGTCATTTATAGGAAAGAAGCAATTGGTAATGCAGAGGGGTAAGATTATTTTCTTTCAGTTTCACCCACACTGAGTTAAGCAGTATGCAGCCTTCTAAAACATGACAGCCAGCAAATGAGACCTTTCTTGTCTCTGACACTTTCACACACACTAAATAATACACTTTCAATTCACTTTCAATGCACTTTGCGACTGGATTTTACTGTGTGAAATGGCAAAATCCACTTGCCAACGGTAGCTGAAGTGGACTGAAACTGCATTATTTAGCATGTATGAAAGTGGTTCAGTAACTTCTGGAGATTTTCAATTCTAATTCAGCAGAATAATGATTGTTTGTTTTTCTTCCATCTCCCTTGCATTAATCATTTTATTTTTAAGTTGTATAAAGACTAGAGGACATGCCAGCTCAAAAAAAGTTTTCTCTTTATTCATGTTTTGCTTCATTCCAAGAAAAAAAGCCTCCCTGAAAAGAATTTTCAGGTTTTTTAAAAAAAATTCAGCACATATTGTGGGAAAGAAAACTAGCCATCTATTTTGTAAAATTCCACTTTATTATTAGAAATTAACAGTTTCGGTTTTAACTGGATGTGTGCTCAACAGTGAGAAGTGTTTCAGGGACAGCCGACAAGTGCCTTCCCTATTGGAAGCAAGATTTAGTTTTACCTTTACTAGAAGCAGAAGGGAAGGGGAAAGACAGGATGCAGCAGAGGCAGAGTTGCTTCCTTATGTCTTAATAGGTAGAGGTCCAAGAAGCACATTGCTAGAAAATGTAATAAGACGCAGTAGAAGAAAAATATATAATTCTTAATTATGTGGCTGGGAGGGCTAGGCCAGTGTGGGGTTTGCAACTGCCCAGTTTCGATGCTGTTCAACTTATTCCAGTGGACTCCATGAAGAGTTTGAGGGTCTGGCTGGACACCTCGCTTACCTTGGATGAAACAGGGTTTTTTTCTATCTCCAACAGGCCCATCAGTTTTCCTCCTACTTGTCCGGGTTTGACCTGGCCACAGTGATTCATGCGATAGTCACCTCCAGACTAGATTACTGTGATTTGTTCTACACAGGGCTGCCCTTGAAGGCACTTCAGAAACTTCAGGTTGTTCAAAATGCAGCTGCCAGGCTGTTTACCAATTCACTGTGGCTCATACACATGAAGCCCAATTTGCAGCAACTGTGCTGACTTCCAGTTGGTTTCTGGATCAAATTCAAAGTGCTGGTGTAAATGTTTAAACCCTAAATGGTCTGGAACCATCATATGCAGGGCTATTTTTGGGCAGGAACGCACAGGAACAGAGTTCCGGCTGGCTCCCGAGTTGGCCACGCCCAGCAGGAACTCTAATGGCTAATAAGCCACACCCAACAGCTACATAAGGGGTGTGTGGCCTAACATGCAAAGGAGTTCCTGCTACAAAAAAAGCCCTGGGTTTTGACAACAAACAAGGTAAACAGAATAAGAAGCAAAAGGTGGGTGTGGCTGGATGACCATACTTCTGGTAACATGGTGGTGTGGCCTAATAGGCTAATGAGCTGTGCTGTCAGGGGTGTGGCCTAACGTGCTAATACGTTTCTGCTGTTGGGTGTGGCCTGTTATGCTAATGAGTTCCTGTTGGGCTTTTTCTACCAAAAGAGCCCTGATCATATGTAAAGGACTGCCTCACCCGTTATGACCCCCGCAGTATCTTCATTCAGCCACATGCGGGGTTTTGGTGGTACCCGGCCCTCAATTTGTCCATTTGAGTGCAACAAGGGTGATGGCCTTTTCCATTGTGGCCCTGACCTTGTGGAATGCCCTGTCTGAGGAGACTTCTGCCCTGTGCCACTCGTCTGCATTCTGCAGGGCATGTAAGACAGAGGTATTCCACCAGTTCTAGTTAGGCAACAACATGGTGGATTTTTATGCCAAAAGCTGTGTGTTGAGTTTTAATTGGATTTTATTAGAGTTATGGTTTTATCATTGTTATTGGTGTTTCATTGTTATGTTGTTAGCCACCTCAAGCCCCATTCTGGGGGACAGGTGTGATAAAAATTTAATTAAACAAATAAATAAAATAAACTTAAATTACTCTGCTCTCCTACTTTAGAACTCATGTAGTGTTCCCGCTAAGCTGAGTTAGTGTGAGCTAGCTCACAGTTTTTTAGCCTCCAGCTCATGCATTTTTGTCTTAGCTCGGGAAGGATGGCTCCAGAGCAAACTGATTTATGCAGTAGCCAAATCGCTTGCTCACAACTTTAATGTCAGTAGCTCACAAAGTAGAATTTTTGCTCACAAGACTCCACAGCTTAGAGGGAACATTACTCATGAGTATATTAAAGTATATAGAAGTACCATGTAAATATACCTAATCCTTTTGGAACAAGGTGGATATAGTATTTTATTTATTTATTGTGAGGTTAGGGTGGGGAAAGGAGAACCCTGTATTGAACTCTTTATAGGAAGGATGGCATACAAATATACTAGATAGATAACAGCTGGGGTAGTATTGCCACTAGCCACAAATCTAGGTGTTATTCAGATAACTAGTTTTTCCATCAGTGGATGGATATTCAGTACTTCATTCCTTGGCCTGAATTCTGAGCTTTTGTTACTTTTCTACATCATTTTAGAGGCAGAAAATAGAACAATGTGGAGGTTACCCTTAATAGGAGCTAATGGTCTCCTCCAGGCCTCTCTGATCTGCAGAGTGAGATAAATGTATGGTCTGATCTCACTGTTTCTCTTGCTTCTTACAGGTGCCTTACTGCCCACATTTCAAGGATTTCCCTATGTCCCTTTCTTTCTCTTAGCAGTCATTTTGCTCCTGTTCCTCTGATCCTTAAGACGTCTGGCATAAGGAGCAAGATAGTTCAAGATTCATGTAGTGGTGGAGGGAAAACTCATATATTTATAGAGAGCCAGTATGGTATAGTGGTTAGAAATGTCAGACAAGAATCTGGACAAGAATCTGGAGGATCCAGGTTCGAACCACTCTCTGCCATGAAAGCTTGCTGGTTGACTAGCCACACACTCTCTTCTACTTCACAGGGTTGTTGTGAGAAAAAATGAGAAGAGAGCTTTGTAAGCTGCTGTGAGTCCCCTGTTGTAATCTTCATGTGGTTTCGGTTTTAGGGGAACCGTGTCCGGAGAATGGCAGAAGTCCAGGCTCTGTGTCTACGCATCACAGTTCCCCAAGAAGTGACTATGCCACATATGCTAACAGCAATCATGCTGGATCAAGTAGCAATGCTACACCCCCAGAGGGCTTTGCTTCACACAGCTTGCAAACAAGTGATGTCATTATCCATCGCAAAGAGAATGAAGGATTTGGTTTTGTTATCATCAGCTCCTTGAACAGGCCTGAATCAGGATCAACCATAAGTAAGTCAAATCTTATCAATTGTTCCTTTGCAAATATTCTACCAGACATTATACCTTACCCATCACGTATGCTTGTCACTTATCTGTAGAGTTCGGTAGTGCTAATGTTGCATCCCATCCCATTTGTTTATTCCATTTTTGTCCTTTTTCAAATGCTCTCTGCCCAACAACCAGGATTTAAAGAGTTATGTCTGGCCAGGGTCCAACATACCTACGGGACTGCCTTTCCCAGTATATACCCCAGAGAGCACTATGGTCTGGGTCTCAAAATCGGTTAACCCTTCCTGGCCCGAGGGAGGCCAGGCTAGCTGCTACTAGGGCCGGGGCCTTCTCGGTGGCAGCCCCTACCTGGTGGAACGAGCTCCCGGAGGAGATCAGGGCCCTGCGGGACCTTTCACAGTTCCACAGGGCCTGCAAGACAGAGCTCTTCTGCCAGGCATATAACTAGGGGCCGCTGCCGTCTTAGTGCATGGCCCATAATGTTGACATCAGCAGCTGCCTCGAGAATGAGCAATATACATCTCATTGGTTTATCTTATCTGCCGCCAGTACTTTGTAATATTTGTAATGCCTTATTTTAATTGTCGTGTTTTAATTCTGTATTATTTATGCTTTTATCTTGTATTGTTGTAGAAGCCGCCCTGAGCCTGCTTTGCACGGAGGGGAGGGTATAAATGTGATTATAAATAAAAAATAAATAAATAAACTTTCTGCTTTTCCATTCTCTAATCTGTGATACTCAGCAATTATAAAGCGATCAGTAAGTAAAGGTAAAGGCTTTCCTTGCTCTAGAGCTAGTTGAATCTAGGGGCAGTGCCATCTCTGTTTCCAAACCAAAGAGCCAGCTCTGTCCAAAGACATTTCCATGGTCATGTGGCTGGCATGACTAAACGCCGAGGCACATGGAACACTGTTACCTTACTAAGCATTATATACATTAAACAGCAAGGGGAAAACAACAACAATGGATTTAATATGCAGGAAACTTTAGATCATGTACAATATTGGGGATTGGTATGTGCTTGTTCATTTTCATGGCTTCTGTGCAGTCCCACGTGGGATTGCATTTCTGCAGACCAGCCACAGAGAGGAGCTAGCAAGCTTCTATTTGAAAGAATCTTCTAGAGTCCCAAGAGTGTTGTCTGTCCTCCTCACTCACTGTGATTTCCTGCTCAGAAATCGTGTGATGTGGGAGGGGTGAGCACTCTTAATTTAGTTCTCATTTTGCCACCAGTGAGAGAGGATAAGTTCAGTGAGCTTCCTTTGGACATCCTGAGGGGGAAAAGAAAACAGCATTTATTAACAGCCAGCTGAGGTTTTTCTACATCTTTACCTCATGATGGCCCTTTTCAAGAAATGCAACACGTCCACTTGCGAAGCCTGTCATCGCCTCATTCCAAAGGCGGGAGAAGGACAAGCAGCCAACCTGAAGGCCGCACTTCGGGAGAAAGCCCTGCAGGCTCCATTGACTGAATCGGAGGAGAGACAAGACACAACCGAAAAGTCTTCTTTGGTCAGTTCCATGCCAGTTCCCCATTCTGCCTTGCCCACCACACTATTTCCAAACCACCATCTAAAAAGGCTAGGAATAAATCCAAGCACATTGGATGCCGTGGTTCCTGATGCCTATGATGTTTACACCACAATGGGGCTCCTGGGATCAAGGTTACCCAGTGCCATGGTATCCTCCCTCATGTTCATTGAGAGACGGGTTCCACAAATCTGACAGACATCATCCTACCTGTGACTCAAACTCGTGATGCTCTGGTTCCAAGATTGGCTTTGACAGGGATTCTGACCATTAATTGGAACTGACATTGATGCTGTCCTCAAATGACAATGTTGGAGAACCTTATGCACCGTCACCGATGGATGAACAGAAACCTTACGGGGAACCACTCATAAGGATGGCAAAGGCTCTCAATTTGGAGTATCTTTCCACAGAGCCAAAGACAGAAGACCCTCTGATGAAAGTGCTCTTCGATCCAGAGGCAGGACCTGTGTCTCTACCATTCCTCCAGGGAACACATGAAGTCATCATGTCTGCATGATCCAGGCCTACCTCAGCACCAGCCTCATCAAGAAAACTTGAGAGTCTTTATTGAGTAAAAGAGTCTGACTGCACCTACCTATTCCAGCACCTGAAAGCCAATTCATTGGTGTCGGAAGTACTACCTGCTAGGGGTTGTTCTGATTCCATGTCCTTGCCTCTGGACAAAGAGTGGTGTGAAATGGATGTTGTGGGACACAAGGTCTACTTGTCTGGGGCGATGGTCCCCCAGTAATTTACTTGGCTATTATGAGTCGCTATCAAATGCTACTCTGGGAAAAAATGAACCAGTTCATTTAGGTCCTTCTGGAGGACAAGCAGCCCTTAGCTAAGGCTTTAATATCTGAAGGCAAATGTTTAGGGAAACAGCAATTAAACACCTCACATCATGACACAGACTGTCATGGCTGGGCAATGACATCTGGTCTAGTTATGAGAAGCCACTAATGGCTTAGGGTTTCAGCTTAACCTCCTGATACAAGGGCTATACTGGAAGAACTCCCTTTCGACGAGAATGAATTATTCAGCAATCAGACTGATGAGGTCTTGAAAAAATCATTGGGAATTTCATCAGCCACCTCCCAACAAGCACCCAAACAAAGATATTGGCCAAGGGGGGGCCAGCAGTTTGGCTACTCTTAACCATTCAGGTACACTAATTATAGACCCCAAAACCAACCTTATCAGCCATATCAGACACCTGCTAGGCCCCTATATCAACAACAAAGCCAGAGCAGGAGGCAGAATAGGTTGAGGAATAAAACATCCTCTTCCTCACCTAGGGATCAACTTCCTAAGAGTTCTGTAGCCCCCGACTAGCTGACAGGCCGGTGTTTCTCAACAAGTTGTCTAGTTTCTATGATTTTTTGTTAACTGTTACTAATAGTTCTTGGATTTTATCAATAATAAAACATGGTTACTTTTTGGAATTTTGATTTTTGCCTCCGTGCCACCTGCCTGTAACTTGGGAATCTCCAGATTCACAGTTCTTGTCACATGAATTAACTTCCCTGATTCAAAAGGGGAGCTATATTGCAGATTCCATCAGATACAGACCTCAGGGGATTTTATTCAAGGTATTTTGCAGATATTTAAAAAAAGAGGTGGTAAGAGACCGGAGGGCCTGGCGTGATCTCGTCCATGGGGGTCATGAAGAGTTGGACTCGACTGTGCGACTGAACAACAACAACAACAAAAGAGACCCATACCGAACCTTAGAGGCCTCAACAAGTTCTTGCATGTACCTAGGTTTAAGATGCTTTCCATGCATCATACCCCTGCTTGGAACAGGCTTGTGGTTCATAATAGTGGACCTAAGAGATGCTTGTTTTCACATGTCCATTCATGTGTTGTACAGAAAATGTCTTAAATTCTGTTACAAGTGCACATTTCTAAATACACAGTTTTGCCATTTGGCTTGGCCTCAGCACCAAGGATTTTTACAGGTAGTTTTACACTTACGATTACGAGGATGTGTGCTGTATCCATATTTGGATGACTTGCTCTTTGTTGGCAGCTCTCCTGACACACAGACTAAAAATTTGAGATATACCCTTTGTATTTTTGACAGTCTAGGCCTTTTAATCCATATAGAAAATTGCTTCTGGTCCCTACACAATCCATAGAATTTAGAGGGGTGCTATTAGACTCTCAACAAGGGAAGGCCTTGCTCCCATTTCAAAGGGTGGAATGCTTAAGGGCACTAGTCCAATGTTTCTCACACTGCAGGTTCAGTTCCATTAGAAACATTTAGAAACTATTGGGACATCCATGACAGCTGTCACACCACATGCTAGATTACACATGCGATCATTCCAGAACTGGTTCACCAGATGCTACACTCTTTCCAGATAGGTCCTTTGGACTCATCTTTCAGTCCCTAGGTTGGTGCTGCAATCCCTCTCTTGGTGGTTGTCTATTTTACACCTTTTTGTAGGGACACCAATGGGGACACAACGTCATAACATAGAAGTCTTCAAGCTCACATCCCTCATGGATTGGGGAGCACACTGCAGTTCTCACACTGCCCAAGGCCTTTGGACAGAGGCTGAAACCTCACTTTACATCAACATTTTAGAGCTCAGAGCTGTTAAGCGCACTCTCCATTCTTTTGCAGGCTTTCTGCATGAACGTTGAGTGTTATTGGCATTGTACTACACCGCTGCCATGTACTACATAAACAAGCAGGGTGGTACAGGATCTCTGCGCAGAGGCAGAAAGGATATGGCAATTTGCAATACAACACAACACAACATACATCTCACTGCCATTCACATAGCAGGTGTTCGAAGCACAGTAGTAGATACATCAAACAAAGATTTATAAGGGTCCCATGAATGGTCTACTAAGGATCAATTCCTACTACCAATCTTCTGAATTTGGGGATTCCCAGAAAGTGAAAGATTAATAACTGGAGTTAAAAAACTAAATGAAGTTTCCTACCAACAAAAAGGCATACATGAAGAATTCATTTCCTTCTTCTCAAAAATCTACAAGAAAGAAAATTTAACTGAGTTTGGACTAGATGAGTGTATAAAGGAAACATCTGTACCTAAATTCACAAAAGAAGATAAGGACATCTTGAATCAAAACATTATAGTACAAGAGATTTAACAAGCAATAAAGAGATTTGGGGGGAAATAAAGCTCCAGGCTCTGATGGTTTATCGGCAATGTATTATAAGTGTTTGGAGGATGAACAAATGTTGCCTGTGCAAAAAGTGATGAATCAAATAAGTGAAAAGAAAACTATATCACAAACATGGCAAGAGGCACATATAACTTTGATTAATAAGGAAGGGAATGATCCAATGTTACCACAATCGTACAGACCTATATTGTTGTTACAGAGTGACTTAAGAAATAACAAAAATAATCCACTTTGAACAAACCGGTTTCGTCCCAAAGACATACATGAAAGACAGTCTTCATTTTATAATTGATGCAATGGA